TGAACTAATGATTCCTGACGAAACAATTTTTGCAATAACGAAATAAAGTTTCATAATTACATATAAAGCATAATAATTTTTAATTTGCAACAAACTTTTTTATTAAGTTGTTGGTGCGTTATAAAAATTAACTTTACAAAATTAACAAGCTCATACATACAATTAGTTATACATTACATTGAATCAGAGTCCGTTCTTCTTTTTTTTTTATTTATTATACTTAGTTTCTTTCAACGAACCTATCTATTGTATCCGGTGTTACCCCTAAAAAATCACCTCCCTTAAATTTTCCTTACTTTAACTTCCCTTAAACCATTAAATCGCCCCACCATGATCATCAATCATCCCTTCTTGAATTATAACCCCTATACCCAGCCTGCATTATTTCCATTGCCACATATTTAATCATATTGTGGTAGTATGTTTATGCGTTTGGGTAAAATCGCTATATTCCCAAAATTGAGTTAGACCTGGAACACCCCCAACCCATTTGGTGACCACATCACGCCCAACTAAGAAGTCGTCTTTGAGAGTATGGTTGATTACTCATGTTAAAGGTGTGTTAGAGATTAATGTTTCGGGTGGAAGTCTTAAAGTAGATAAAGACGCGAGGGGGGAGTTTAATTGACGTTGATGGAAATAAAGATTTTGATGATGGAAATAAAGATTTGTAATGGCGGATAGAAGTTGAATGTATCGGGATTCTAGTTAGCCAACATGTGTAAAAGACCAATGTATTCGTCTTACTTTATCTTCAGGATCTATATGAGTGATCCCTCCTTTATAATAAAGACATCTGAGGGATTCTTAATTATATTGTACTATTTTACTATATTGGATTATGTGTATCTGTTGTATTGAGTTTCTTATTTTGATTACTCGTCATATTTATTTTCTTATTTGACTATTCACTTATTATACAAATACATCTTTGTATATTCCTATTTTTCATCCATTTATCACATTCATTATTTCTGTCTATTTCACCTTGCACATCGCTTTTACTTATTGTCCTCTTAATTTACTATCCCGACTATTATAGCGTAGTAGTCTGTCCTCTCCCTTTTGACTAGTAACACCGGGCAATTAATGCAAATCATTGGAAAATGTCGGGTCAATGTGTCAAAAAAAAAAATAAAATAAAATAAAATTGGTAGACATGATAACAGATAATGAATAACTTTACACAATTTCCAAAAGAAATTGATTTTCTTTATATTTATTACGTCAAAATGCTATATATTAATATAAATTTTCATGCATTTCACCATCCGTCATGAGTTTCTTCATTCGTCATTCGTCAACTCAGTTGCCTGACTAATGGTTTCATAATTCATCAGGTATCATTAGTATGAACGATAATTGTCATATAGTATCTTGAAAAATAATACCTGGGTATTTACATCCTTAAGATTTTAACCTTGATTAGTATCCCTGATTACTATTCAAATTGATGGAAACCTAGAATAGACGAAAGTTCTTACAATTGTGCTCAAATAATCGCTATTCATCATATAGCATGCAAATTTAGAAATCCCAGACAATGTCTAAAATATTTTCTCCATTCCAAAATATTTTGAATGATGATAATTAGAGCTGGGATTCGTGAATATCCACGGTCAAAAGTGAATATTTGGTTACACAAAATTCATGAATATTTAAGGATTAGAGTATTATTAGTTTTTTTACACGGAATTCGTGAATACTCGAGATGAATAATCTAAGGTTTTACTTATTATGTGAACATTCATATAAAATTTGAATATTCATTCAATATCATTCGTGGATGGCAAAAACCCGTGATTATTTATTGAATAGTCATAATGGATATTCAACGGATCCCAGCTCTAATGATAATCAAAAATAGTACCGTATAAACGCGAAATAATGCGCAGGGGTGTAATTTCGAATTTTTGCCTAAATTAAGCCCAATTCGGGCCATTATTCAAAATAACACCCTGCGAGTTATTTCGTACTTATTCGGCAATATTTTAGAATGTCGAAACTAATCTTTAGATTACTGATTTAGTTGGATCGACGGTCTGCATAATTTTTTTTTTTGCCCGTGAGTCCGTGAATATACTAGAGATAACTACTTTATATTCGTCGTATTTTATGGAATTCTTTAACAATAAAAGGGAAATATATGAATTCTAAAATGAGTTCTGTGAAATATGACAAAGCTGAAGTGAATCCTTTATTGTAAACACAGGACTCGCGGTAAAAAAAAAAAATTATGCAGATCGTCGATCCAACTAAATCGAAAACAGCTGTAAATAATAATTGAATATTAGCAAAGTTTTTACTGCAACTTTTACGTTTAGCATATTGAAAATCTAGTTAAAGCATTATGAAAACTTTAACTATTTTGGTAAGATAATGTTCGCATACCATGTATTATATCTATGTGTAATAAATGAATATACAAAATAAACAAATAAAAAATAAATATATATATAATGCTGAAGGACGCTTAAAGCTAAAAACTAAAAAAAAACTTATACTTTCTCACTTGTAAGTTATAGATATCATGATCAGATTTAACATTTTCCGTTCCGGATAATTATTGATTCATCGGTTGTTTGTTTATTTGTTTTTTCATATAAAAATGTATTAAAATCTAACATTTCTTCGATATCCAAATTTTCATTACTGAATGTAAAAGATCATCTAAATTTTCAGTATCAAAAAATATAATCTGCATCGAGCTCTTCATCTTCAATATTGTTGTTAAACATATCATTGTCAAACTCAACCATAATTTCATAATATTCTATAACTTGCTCAAATTCTGATTCAGAAACTGTTTGATTGATATAGTTAAGTTCATTTTGAGCGTTAGTTATAATATTACTTGATGGAGATATAATTATAGGTTGACTATATCTGTTTTTCGATATTTTTTAGTTAAATTTTTTTTTAAAAAAAAAAACATTAACCATCATACTGTTCTTTTAAAAAAAAAAACACTAACCATCATACTGTTCTTTTAAGAAAATAACTTTTGGTAGGACGTATCAGAATTATTTCGAATATATTTTTGTATAAAAAGATATTCAATATCAAATTTGTTATATGGACACTCCAATTACAGTAAATAATGTAACTATAAATTAAGATTTATATTAAATTTCAAGTAAAATTAGCATAAGTGACTAGTTATATTATACTTACTTTATTTCGGTAATGTTACAATATTTTAAAGAACGACTTACAGATGAAACCAATACCCATTTTCCTGTTCTTGTAATAATTTCATCTTGCAATTCATAAATATATACCAATCAACTTTTTTTTGGACCAAAGCTTTTAAAATCTAAATAGTAATTATTATAAATAAAATAATTAAATTACTTCTAAAAAAAATCTAAATAGTAATTATTATAAATAACTTGCAAATTATAATTTACATTATATCATGGCTGTTGAACTATCTATATCGGTATCTAGCTCTTTCATTTTTTGCAAATACGCAACACTTCTCCTACTATCTACTTATAAATAATAATTGTGCAATCATTCGCTTGTTGTATCCGTCATGATAAAGATATACAACACACATTTTAAATTCTTACTAAATGATGCCGGCATATTGACACCGATGAAAAAAAAAACCAGGATAAAAAAGAACTAAATGACTCACTAATGAATAATTTTAGTTTTATTTTACCGGTTAAAAAATCATACTTTTTTATAAACGGTTAACGGTTAACAATGCACAATCACAATCGATTACGATCATCACTCAAACGATCAATGGGTTCCAATCATACCCCTTGTTGACTGAAATTTTTAAACCTTTGATCTAAATATCTCCGCCACTACCCAAGTCAAGTTGGAAAGTGCAGGGGTGCGCAACCACTAGCCAATCATTGATATATTTTTATATCCAATAAAACAATTTAGTTAATATATATTTGGACAAGCTTTAAGCAATCACTGACATCATATATATAAAGAATTATAAATTAGTCTTAGTATTATTTAAAATTGTCAAAAATGGGTGTGTATCTATTTGTAGGGCACCAGCTCCATAATTGGATTTGTTCAAGTCTTGTTCGTACAGTATTACAGCAACCTGTCAGGTGCATACGTACTGTACGCACTTTCTTCCCCTTTGATTTTATTCGAGCTGTTTTCTGTTCTTATTTTAAATTTACTAAAATTTTACAAAATCTTTTAACATGAGTTTTGTAGAACTTATCCCATCGCTGGGTTCAAACCAAATGCGATACATTCTAGAACCATTTACATTAATATTATCAATAAAAATAGACGAAAGTATTACACAAAATTTACCTTTACCTTTAGACTTAGCGAGTCAGGATTTACAGAGTAGATTAAGTTCTATAGTTCCTACCGTATTAACTGCTCAAATTTGGACCAATTCCGTTGATAAATATTCTCCAGAGGGAAAATGGCACGGGATAGATATGCATGTACATATTGTCTCTTTAAATGGAAAAAATTCTCTTAATTCTGAGTCACTCACGACTGCCAAATCTTGGATTGTTAAATTCCAAGGTGTTATATTATCAACTGCTACTGGTAGGTTTGAGTACACAGCTCGTTGGAAAAGCCAAGGCAGTGATTGGATTTGGGCGGGTAAAAGTAATAAAAATGGTGTAATCGAGGTTAGACCACCTTCACCCGATAATCCGTGGACCCATGGCCCTCGAGCTGTCGAAATGGAACCTGACCTGTACATTGGAAATTATAATGCGGCAAGCAGAGCAAAAAAAATGGGATTCCAAGCTGTTTTGACTGTCGCTAAAGAGCTAGAACTCTCATCAGAAATCCTGGAAGGTATCGAATATTTGAAAGTCCCTCTGGAAGATGGGGCAAATAGGAGAATATCGGACCATGATATTAACACTTGTGTGAAATGGGTTCAAAAACAATTAGACAATAAACGGAAAACACTGGTTCATTGTCGGGCTGGAATGGGGCGTTCAGGATCAATAGGAATTGCATATGTTTATTTCCACCATCCGAAATTTTCTTATAGAGAAGCGTTACAACATGCTTGGTCAAAAAAACCTGATATATACCCGCATGTTGGGTTACAGCAATCTTTGGAAAGATTATATCCAAGGCTTAATTAGGTCTTTGTTTTGAACTCAATTCTTAAAGTTTAATTTATTATGTTTAAAAGCTTACTTTTTATTATTATTATTATTTAAAACTGAATCTAAATTCTACTGTATCTAAACTCATAAAATAATCATCTATATGTAAACCATATATAATACATTTTACTTTTAAAGCTTATAAATTTGAATATTTTTCATGAGCTGAAATTTTTGCTTTATAAAATTCCTTTTGATATAAATTTAAATAACTTGTACAATACATAAAGTTTCATTTCTAATTTATTCATAATAACTGTAAATATGCTTCATCAACAAATTCCATTAAATTGATTTCACAAAAAACATGAACCATAAGCTGAATCACCAAGATTGCCGAATTCAGAATTTGGATAGTCAATGAAGAAATAAAGTTCTAATTGCAGCCTTCACCGTGACTCATAAAATAACTCCATCAAAGTTTAACTTTCATGTTTTTTTTTGCTTATCACGTCCTAAATTATTCAGCAGTAAACCATCACTTCCTCTACGAATAAGTAGTTTAAGTTCATATGGGTTATTTCTTATATAATATGTTGAACGAGTGAACACCGAGTCAATCGCTTCATATCTTTCTTCGAGTAGTTTACGAATGGCATAGTCGAATAATGGGAATGATATATTTAACGAGTTAGCTAATTGTAGGAAGTACTCTATTTGCGACTTGATGGTTTTGATTCTTTTTTCCAAACACCAACAGTTCTTTTCCTCCTACCAGCCACGACAAATTCGAAAGTCGAATTGATCAGAGCCATTTTGTGATGTACACCTTATTTCGGAAGTGATAAAGATAACTTATTAATGAGATTAAATTACTTGAGAATTTCGCTAAAAAAGCTAAAAAACATTATCTCGTCAATAATAAATGATTGGTTGGTTACATACGTATGTGCTAGTAATTATATAATTAGGATAATTTTTATTCGCAAAAAACATTACAAAATATAAATAAAATTAAGTAATAATATCTAATCAATTTGCCCATCATTAGTATATTGGTTTAAGTTGGACAAATATAGCATGCACAAGACAGATTTGCAATTTTTTTTCCTTGGGCGGTCATGCCTTTATCAATAATAATTACAATGAATTTGTATAAATGCTATATTTACTTCATTCCTGAAACGTTACAAGTTCCATATATCTCATATGCCGCATAAATGCTAGACCTTTCTGCCATAAGTACGATAAACCTGTAAACACAGGTGAATAGTGATCATGCTAGGGAGGGTAAAAAAAAAAAAACGGTTTAAACAGTTTTTTTAACATTTTTTATTGTTTTAAACCTTTTTTAAAACATCAGCGTCTGATTCTAAAATTTGGCTGAAATTAAATTTATCGTCTCTGAATGGCTAATTTTAGTTTCAGCAATTTGATTGTTAAAGAGAAATTTTCAAAAAAACAATGCTATATACTTTCGAATTTATTACATTTAAGAATAATAAGAAATGTATTTGATCGTTTTAAGAGTTTAAATGCAATAAATTCGCCTATCGACAAATACAACTTTCATTGATTTTAAATGCATAATTACCTACTTTACAGAAACCTACAGGGGGGTACCACGGGTTACCGAACGGTCTATATATGCGGCAATAACTTTTTTTCTCACATATTAACCCCCAAA